TGAGCTGATGGAGGCAGGAATTAGCCTTAGTGGAGGAGACAAACGCAGGGCTCATAGGCGGTAGAGGGGCGAATTGAAGATTGTGAGGATCCTAGGGGCTAGGAGGGCTTCGTGGAGGAAGGGCTTCTCGCTGCACTTAGGAGCCAACTGGAGGCTGCCCCGGCAGGGAAGGGGGCAGATGGGGTGGGTTTCTGAGCGGATCCCAGGTAAACCCACCAGGAAAAACCAGCTGTGGGCTCTTACGGCTTTATTGAGGGACTGGTGTCTCTTCCAGATGCCTGATCCCTAACCTTCAAAACACTTTTTAAGTTCAGCGACTCTGGGCCGGCTCCTGACTTGGGGATCCTGCCAGTTGTTAGCAGTTGTGGCAGGTGATCTAGGAGCTCCTGGTCCCTTGAGGGGCTGGGGGTGAGTGTGCTCTGTTAACAGGCCCTCAGAAGGCTGGGCTCCGGTGTTCTCTGCGGAACCAGGATCTGAGGAAGAGTCAAGGGTTTGGGATGTCCAGGTGGTATCCAAGTTGGGCTTTGTGGGGGCCAGAAGTTGGGGGCTTTCTAGAGGGCTGGGCTGGGGGGGTGCTGTGGAGAGCTGGGAGCAGGGGCTCTCCGGAACTACGGGATCCCCGGCTGCCTCGTGTGGAAGGGAGAGGTGTTGGATTTGGTGACAGGGCTCTGTGAGAGAGGATTCAGGGGCCCCTCTGCTGCTTGGCTCTGCAGAAGCTGTTGAAGACTGGGATGGAGAAGTGATTTCTTGGCTGGCCTCTGAGGGTGGCTGGGGAGTGAGGTTCTTTGAGGAGCTGGTGGTCTCCGAGGGCCGGGGGCTTTGTAGAGATGGCAGGCTGGCAGGCAGGGAGTGAGGCTGTGGCTCTGGCATGTCCTCCTCATCTGGCTGCCATCTTGGTTTTCCTGGTATGTTGGGCTGGGCAGGGGTGGGGAGATGAGCAAGCTGCTGGACTTAAGATAGGGGATGGGCTGGCAAGTTGACTGGGCAATTGGGGAGGACTGGGGTGGGGGCGGGGGCACTCACCAGGCTGAGGCAGCTGTCCAGGTCCCCTCTGTGGCAGCAGTCTAAGCTCTGGCTGGGCCTTAGGCTGCCTGTCCTTGTGGATCTAGTGCTCAGACTGTCTAGAATTTCACTCAGCAAATCCAGTTCTTCCCCAGACCCCAGGAAGCTGCTGTCCAGACCTTCCTCTCCCCACAGGTCCTGGGCATCCTCAGGGCTCAGAGGGGGTGTCCTGGGTGAGGATGGGTAGCTTCAGATATCCCAGTGGTTCTGGCGGGTCTGGAACTTGGGGACCATCATCCCCATCAGTCCTTGCCTCCCATTTCCGACATCGCCCCTCCCCCCCTTTGAGCCTCACCCTTTCCCCAGGGACTCGGAAGGTGTCTCTTCCAGCTGGAGTCTCCTGCTGGGGCGGAGAGGCCTGTTCTGCAAAGGAAAGATTTGGGGGGTGAGGCCTCAGGAGCTGCAGAGTCACGGGGCCATGTGAAGCAGGCGCCAGATATTGGGGTAGTCAGGGAGGCAGGTGAGATGTTTAGATGGATGCAGGGAGGGAAGGGGACTTGGCAATAATTCCAGGTGTGCGCAGGGTGTCTTACCTGTCCAAAGTGCTGGGTGATAGGCAGGCGCTGCTGCAGGCGATCTGAGCGGCTGGTGAGGGATGGGGCCCTCAGGGAGCCTCCCCTCTGCAGGCCAGGGTCCCCTTCCTAGGGAGAGGGAGGGTAAGCCAGGAGCCTGTTTCCCCACTCCCCTTAGGCCGTTGGCCACTGGCCATTAGCCTCACCTTGTACATCAGAAGGCTCTGCACCCCCTTCAAGCTGCTCTTGGCCTACGGAAGAGCCGACAGAGAATTAGACTTGAGGTGATCTGACTGAGCACTTGAGAACTCAGCCTTCCGTCCCCTAGGATAGCTGTGTCTTGTCGTCTTTTCATGTCTGTGCTTCATAAATATATTCACAATCCCCCACGCACTTCCTAAGGGGCCAACGCAAGCTCTTTCCCATCTGACCAAGACAGGAGTATTCTTAGGGGAAATAATCTCCGAATGAAACAGAGGGGCAAAACCAGAACATCGTAAAAGTGTGTTTGTGTTCAAAAGCCGAGCGAAGAATAAAATTGAATGGACAATTCGGAACTGCAGAAATGGACCTTGGGGAACTTGGGCTTGGGAGAAAAAGCCAAGGGCAGAAACAGGATTTGCAGTGTCTGAGAAGGATACTTGGTTGTCAACTTTAGGAAAGAAATTATCCTGACAAAAATGAGAATGATGAATGGAAAATAAAAATAAAAGTGGGAAGAATTGTTAATGGTTTAACTGCTGGTTCGGTTCTGATAAAAATATTTGCACTTTGAATGTGGGGTTAACATGTCCTCTGTCACCCCAGCGGATGGCCTGTCTAGCCCAGCTCACCGAGCGGTACATGTTTCTGACAGCTGGTTGGGTCTTGGCCTTGACCGAATGCAGGAGGGCACCACCACCTTTCTGGGGAGAAAATGCCAAGGAAGAGGCTTGGGCATCTGGGGTTACCCCAGACCCCACCTCACCCCAGGGCTGTATGACATCAGACAAGCCACTCTCCGTCTCTCCGCCTTGATTTCTTCAGCTCTGTAAACGAGCAAAATGACGACCCTCCCCAGGGACTGTTGTGGGATTAAATTAATCCAACATAAACTCTAAACAAGTGTTTGGCGTTAATACCTTGAGGTTTTCTGCCCAGAGTTGGTAGGAGCGAAGGCTGCCTGGAGTGAGGAGAGAGCGTGTTCAGGGCAGGCAGACTCAGGCTGGGGCACTGCTGGCGGGGTGGGGACTCCGGGGCTACGTGCGGGGCTCACCTGAGAAGGCCCCGCTGCAGGTGATCTCCTGCTCAAAGAGATCTGAGAAGCCCTCTCCCGTGTTAAGCTTCTCCAGTCGGCCTTCGATGAACTGGGGGTGGGGGAAAAGGTCAGTCCGACGCAGGGCTGCCACTACCACATCTGAATGAGAGACTTGGGAGACCTCTCGCTCTCAAGACCACCCCTCAAGCGACCCGTCCCCAAGACCCAGGAGTTCCGGAGCCTGCCTCAGGAAGCCAAAGGCCCAACCCCCTCCCCTCCCCCCAGGTCAGCATCCCGCCCCTCACAGGGACCCGGAAGTCGGACACTGCCAGTCCCGACCCGCCACCTCTTCTCAGTGATCCTGGAAGAGGTCGACCCCGCCTTCAGAGACCCTAGAACCCGGCCCTTTCCTGAAGGACCTTGGAGTCCAGCCCACCTTCTCCCAGGAACCCAAGAGTCCGGCCCAAATTCCCGCGTCCCGCCCGCCGCCGGGTATCTAGGACGCGGGCGTCGCGGCCCGCCTCCTCCCCGCGAAGAGAGTGCACGCTCAGGACCCGCCCCTTCCGAAGGCCAGCGCGGATTCCCACCCCGGATTCTGGAATTTGGTCCCATATCTCTCTAGGGTCCTAGGAGTAAATCTCATCTCTCAGGACCTCAGGTAAGGGGCTCCCACCCTGTTGTAGGAGGAGATCCCGCGGGATCGACCCTAGCCCCGCCCGCAGGACCAGGTCGTCTGCGTTCCTAGCCCCGCCCCTCGGGCCCCCGCCCCTCCTCGCCCCGGGGGCTCTGGCTCACCTGTTTGAACAGCTGCAGGTGCACAGCCCGCCGGTGGAAGGCCTGCAGGGGTGCCCCTGGCTTCTGGGCCAAGAAAGCTTCTTCACTGAAGGTCACAGGCTGGCCCTGGAAGAAGGACCCATGTCCTCAGCTCCCCAGGATCTCCTGGACCCCAGTGCCTCCCTCACTCTACCAATATATCGATGTAGCAAGCGTTGGTTGAGCGCCTGCTGTATGCCTGATCTTGTGCAGGGCCTTGTGGGCCGCGGCGCTGACTTCGGCTTTTACTCCAAGGGAGGCGGGAGCCCTGGAGGGCTGTGGGCAGAGGCAGGACGCGACCGTACTCAGGTGCTCACAGGTGACTTCTGGTCGCTCCTGGGAGGGCAGACTATGGAGGATGAGGGTGGGAGCCCAGGAGAAGAGAGGAAACTCTTTCGGGAGGCGAGCGCGCTGAACCCCGCGCGCAATAATGGGGACCAGACCAGGGTGGAGACAGGAGGGAGAGAAACGGGCAGGTTCGGGTTGTGTTGTAAGGCTAGAGCCGACAAGAGCATCAGAGGCGCAAATGATAGAACCCTCGAGTTTTTATGAAATAGCGAAAAACAGGGTGGTGAGAGTTGAAAGTCAGCAGATCAAAGTCCTGGCTTCAACACTCACCCACTGTGGGACTTCTCCAAGCCTTCGTTTCCTCATATGTGAAATGGGATCATAATGGCATCTATCTCATAATACTGCTGCGAGCATTAAATGAGATAACAGTAATAGTGAAACGTAGCATTTGAGTCCTCACGATGTGCCAGGCACTAGCCAAGCATTTTGCCTATGCCCATCCACTGACTCACGCCATCCTTTTGGGTGGGTACTATCTGGATCCCATTTTACAGATGAGCAAATGGAGGCACAGAGTGAGCACTCTCTAAACGCTAGGTACGGGTATCTGAGGCCCCACGAAGCCTCTGCCTCGGCGTCCCTGCTGCTCACCGGGTTGCAGACGAGCGCGTCGCGGTAACCTCCAAAGAGCAGCGCCTGGGCTTTGAGGAAGAGACGAGACACCCCTTCCCCGGGGGCCAGCGCAACCTTCCTCAGCCGCAGCCTCAGCAGGGACGCCTGGGGGACAAGACAGCAGCGATGAGCGGGTAGCTGTGGGGCCTCGGGCCCCCGGACGCCGCAGGAGGGTGGTAGGGGGTGACACTGACCACATCTGGGGGCAGCGCCTGCATGTCGTCGAAGGGCGTCTCTAAGATATTGGAGTCCACGTTCATCATCACGACGTCTTCTAGGCCTTTCTCCCGCACTCTCTGCGTTGGGGGTTAGAAGGGGGTACCGCC